CTTGGAGTCTGTATCGTATTCTATCCACTGGTAGTATAAGTTTTACTGTAGCAGCCCCAAGGTCGTTATTCCACTTGTCCAAACTTTTCGTCGGCACAGCATTATCCATGATCAATCCCGACCAAAATTCATAACTTCAATTTAGCTCCATAAAATAACATAGCAACATCAGCATGTGTTTTGTGAGTGACTAACATTCGTTCGTGTTATGATAAGTTAATGAGCCCTGTCGTTATAACTTTTTTTTGAACTCGAACTTGAACCTGCAAACCCGGTCACGGTAGCCTACATGCTATGTTTGGATTAAAGAAAGTCGACATGCCCATGTGTACCGGGCGTATCAGAACCGATCGGAGCGGACGCTGCTATTTTGCGGCATTGCGTCGAGCATTGCGCCCGCCCTCGGGCCGCAGGGGGCGGGGGGCACCCATGGCACCTTGCGGACGGGGGGAAGTAGGCAAACCCGCAACACTGCAGCGTCCGCTCAGATACAATTGACTTGAGAGGACCAGGCCACACACACATGACCCAATAAGGTTTTTTGGTCCAGCCAGTAGCCGTCCTAATTGTGAGGTCCATCCTCCAGGGCACATTGCCGAGCAAGTATGCTGATCCCGGTTTCAGGTCGCACCCGACATCTTATCGCAATTTGGCAGCCAATAAGTGGGGTTCCCGGGGGAGCTCGTCATAAGCACGGGAGCCCCGGTACACTAAAGAGAGCAGACACGCTGGGTGGTCCACAGTCCCCTTTCTTTACTTTGCTCATACTGTACCGCATGCAAGCGTGCGGGTGGGTTGCCTACTCGCACGGGGCCGTAAAGGCGACACGGTGAGCGCCACGGTAGGCAAGACTAGAGCCCTGCATCGAGCGACCTACGCGAGCTAGACCTCTTCTTCGACAGGCGAGAAGAGGGGGGTCAGGCCTTTACCTCGCGTAGCTCGCTTTTTGCAGGGCTCTTGCCGAGAGACTGCTCGCTGGCCTGCATACCCATAAGCAAAACAAAAAGAGGGTCTGTGAACCACCCTGTATACGTACACCTTTATCGATGCATGGCATGCCCACTTCATGAGCGTGTGTTTTCGTTAATGTGCACATACCATGTCTACTTTCTTATTCGTGCAGCCACGGACTGGCCCGGGTCGGGAAAGACCGACCGGGACCCAAAAATGTATCTTTTGGGGCCCCTTGAAGGCTTAAAGGTATCTTTTGGGCCCCTTGAAAGGCAATAAAAAGGTATGGGCCCCTCGGAGCAGGTTCCCGACGGGGCTCCTCAGACCCCCAGTCCGTGACTGTTCGTGTGGGCGCAAAATAATGCAGGCATTTGAGCTGACAGCGGTTTCCCATTATTGGCATGTACGGGGTATGCACACTCTTTAACGCCGTGGTCGCCTAGATTGCCAAAATGTTGGCAGTCCTTTTAGATTGCACGGGGTATTCACACTCTTAACGCCGTGGTCGCCTAGCTTGACAAAATGTTGGCAGTCCTTTTAGATCGCCAAATTTAGGCCGTCTTTTGCAGGCTGCCAACTTTTGACATCTTTACTTGCCAGAGGCATGGCCTTCGTTTAAAAGAAAGCTAGCAAAGTGGCCAAAAATTTTAGCAGTCAACATTTTGTTGCCTTTTGGCAATCTAGGCGTCCAACGGCGTCAATCTTTCTCTCTGTCCATTCCTCAGATAGCGACCTCGCCCCTTCCCCCGCCCCGGCCCGCCCCTCCGAGTCGAGCACGCCGCTTGGGACTGGGACTTCCCTCGCCGCCCCGCCCCGCCCCGCCCCGCACGTGCGCGCGGCTCGGGTCGCTCAGCTTCAAGTGACGGCGGCGCCGCCCCTCCGCCCCACACCAGCTTTGTTTGCCGAGCCCACGGGTGTGCATCGCACCGAGCGCAGCGCGCGGTATATAAAAGCGCACCGCGATAACGCAAGTGCATTTGCATCGGGACGATCGAGACTATCGAGACTGCCCCTCCTCCACCTGTCCTCCTCCCGAGCCCGCCCGAGACCAGCGCAGCGAGAGACCATGATGGCGGGAGACGACGACGGCTTGCTGGCCGCCCGTGAGTACCCTTTGAGAACCGATCGGCGGAGGGAAAAGTACAGGGTGGTCCACAGACCCCTTCCTTTATTTTGCTTATACTGAATCGGATGCAGGCGTGCGGACGGGTTGCATACGCGCACGGGGCCATAAGGCGCCGCTGTGAGCGAGGCAAGCCCGCCCGCACACCTGCATGCGGTACATTATTAGCAAAGTAAAGGAAGGGGTCTGTGGACCACCCTGTATGTACTAACTTGCCCCTTATTTAACTTCTGCTCGGTAAAAGAAAAGCCCTGGAATTCCCAGAAGTTTTGTGTATTTTCCAGGAGAGTTGGAAGAGTTCCAGGGGATATCCTGGGTTCCAGTAGCTGCCCTGGGAATAATGGCTTGTTTCCAGGGCATCCACTGAGGTTCCAGCCTCCAGGGAATCCCAGGGCTGGTTTTTACCGGGTGCTAGGCTGTGAAAACTGTCCAATATTTACCGCTGTGATTTTTGCAATACCTCCCTTTTGATGTGTACACTTGATTCCCGAAATACTTGATTCCCAGTGATTCCGGTCCGCCTGTATTTATTCCTTAGGTTTTCTAGTGGTAGAAAATGCCCATTTCGACTAATTGGTACAAATTCCACAAGTTTCCTGCTTAGTTTAAGCGATTTCTGTTGATTTCGATTAGTGTTTATCCTGGTGATTCCCAGGCAGGTGTACACATGATTCCCGCAGTTGGTTCCCCCTCAGTTTTGTATATATGCCAAGATTTGGCATTTCCTTATTTCACGTGTGGAAGGAAACCTAGGGTGCAAATGCACGTTCCAACTTAAAGTGAGGGGAATTTCGAAGGGTGCAGCGTGAAAGCGATGGAAGGCTCGAAGCAGATCGCGTGGATGTCGATACTTCATTCGCGTTTTATCTGTACAGCAGTGTACGTGTTTAGTCTTTATCTGCGTTGCAAGGTTGCAACGTTAAGCTACACTAATAGTGACAATCTGTTTGGGGGAAACAAAAAAGTCGCGTCAATTTTTAAACCGGGGAGTCCGTGCTTTATCTGCGGTGACTACTGTTCCCCGAGCCGTTTTCTGCAGTCCGCCCCTTTACGCCCGCCGGCCTCACGGTTACTCTCGTCGTGTCTCCTAACGTTAGCCGCCGCTAGCCCGCGTTAGCCATAATCGTGTGGAGGGTGGATGCGGGTGGCATCCTGGAGCCCGGGCGTCGTAACGTAACGAAACGCGTAACAAAAACGCATAAGAACGCTAGTAAACTTGCAACTTTAATGCGTTATTGAAGCGTTTTCAAAGAAATTCAGAAGTATTCTTATGTACAAATGCTCACTTCAAAAACGCTGTGTTAAACCTGCAATTTTATTTTCGGTTTATTGCGTTTCCGTTACGCGTTTCATCGTTACGTTACGACGCCCTGCGTTTGGGCGGCACCCGGACACCCTCCACATCACGGCACGGCGCAAAATCCTCTTGTGAACCTACTCTGGAAACTCAAGTGTGAAACAGTCCAACAGTTATAAGTGCATGTATGGTGCTACAGCTGTAACTGTGATGCATGCATGGTAATACAGTTTTAACTGTGATACTCATGGTATTGCACTTAAAACTGTTGGACTGTATCACACTTGAGTTTCCAGAGTACCAGTAGGACAGTCTAAATCTACTATCTGTCGCGAATCCAGTTGGAAAAGGAGAGGGAGGGGTCGTTTTTGCCCGCCTAAGGTGCGAATTGGCGCTAATATGCATGTCTGGCAGGTGGGTTGGGCAGGGGTCCTTTTTCAAGTGCAATGCATAGTTTCGATTTTTGAAAATAACATCATTTTTATCAGGGGACCGCAACTTATCAGAACTTATTGGTTAATAGTAAACACGAAAGGTCGGTTCGGTCGGTATTGGGGCACAGGGGAATACCTCAGCCTCCTCCTTTGAGGCAACACGTCTGCCAAGTTTGTGCTTTGGGCAAACGTTTAACACGTGGTTTGGAACGAGTTCGCTTTACGGGAGGCTGGAGGCTGGGGATCATCTAGAAAGAACGCCCGTCAGTCGCACTTACGAACCTGCCTAGTTGCAGCCTCTCCATAGCGCCTGATAGCTAGGCAACATATCACCTGCAATGCCTGCATGTACTGCGGGTTGGCCTACCCAGAGTCTTGCAGGCGCTGAGCCTCCGACATTGGGCGAGTAAATCTGAGGAAAACGGACGCGTACTTCCCGGACGGTACTCTGACAGACTCGCAAGACTGACTCACCCCCTTCACATTCGTTTGTTACACTGCTCCATAATGTGAATCGCAACGTTGAGTCAACGTCGGTCTGTGATCGCGGCGGACTTGCATATCGTATCTGACCGACGGTCCTAGCAAGCGCGGTTTTATGGGGGGTGACCCCCCCCCCCGGTCGCCCCCTAGATTAGGTATTTGTCCTACAAAACTCCTGAAAGTAGGCAACCCATAGCAATCGCCCCCTCCGTCAGACGGACTTAAAACCGCGCCTGGTCCGAGTGAGTAGGCAACCCGCACGCAGTCTAACTACGTAGTGTCAGGGTGGCGAAACTATGCCCCTTTGTATTACTGCAATGTCGTTGTTGTTATTGACAGTCTCTATGCGAGACCTTTTCTTCAGAAGCCCTGCTTCCCGTGATTGAAAACGCGATCCTGAATTTGTTTGACATTGCCCCTTTCCCGGTCTACTTGGCTTGATGCCAAGCGCCGCAGCAGCCTCACTATGCAAGACTAACAATTCCAAGTAAAATGGTAAAATAAAATGTCCGTACGTTGCGCGATTTGTGACCGACTGAGATGTGCCACGTTGTTCTGCAGCATTGTCCAGACTCGCCATCTCAAGGCGCAACTAGTCACTGCTGTTTGTACAAAACCGTAAGCACCTTCTCGCAGCCGCTCACAAATCGCGTTACGTACGGACACCCCTCCCTCGAACAGCCCACATATAACTTACTTGAAGGCTTGCTTCTCGAGACGGGCGATCCTCTGCTACAGACACACTCACTGGCAGCGCGCGTATACGTATAGGCGCACCGCGCGGGTCAACGGCTCGGGTAATACTGCCACAGTAACAGTTCCATGGGGGCGGCGGAGAGGTGGACGGGGGGAAAGAGGGGGGAGGAGGAGGGGTCATCTCGAGTTTGACAAGCGGCTCTGATGCCCCTGACCCCGCCCGGCAAACAAACAGATACAGATAGATAAGGAGCGCGGCAGTCGAGCGGCACCGCAAAGCCCTGTGCGGCCGCGAAGGCGCTGGACAAGCCGGGGGATGGGGGGGGGGGGGTCGAGGCTCGGCACTTGCTCGGCACCTGCTCCCCGCAGCCTCCGCGGCGCCCGACAGCCCCGCGCCGCCGCCGCCACCCCCGCCACCGGAGGGAATACGGATAGTAGTTTGCGGCTCATCGGGGCTCACCCACGCGCGGACGATGTATTTTGATCGCAGTCGCGATTGCATCATGAAGGGTGACGGGAACATGCAGAGAAGACACATGGAACTGTGAGAGCCCGCGCGGCTGAATGTCGTCATCTTCTTTCCCCATCCTCATAATTCCCGGCACAAACACACACACACACACACACACAGCGGTGTGGTGACTTGATGCGCGATAAATTCGCGCTCAAGTCCCCGTGTGTTTGTGATAAAAACCGCTAGCCAAGTACACAGCCTTCTGGTTTCAAGCCCCCCGACTGCATCTCAAACATACAGGGTCTTTGAATAAATTTCGAACATAAGCTGAATTAGAGGATTTCGAGCGGAGGGGAAGGGGGAAAGGGGGTGGAGCTGAGCGCAGCGGTCGCCACACATTACACCCCCGCCGAGCCCCTTGTGGCCCGGTTAAAGAGGAGAAGCGAGGGAAAAGGGGGGGGGGCACGTTTTCTCCTTCTGGTAGAGACAGTTTTGGGGACTGTCTAAAAACTGAAGACTCGGCCTAGAGACACTCTTGTGTGTCCAATTGATGGATGGCCCTGCTGGAAAGGCAAGTTTGTGCTTTACCCCCCTCGCCCCTCGCCCTCAGCATCCCCTCACGTAACGTGCCTAAGGGTGGAAACCGCCTCTTGGCGATTTTAGTTGGAAGGGGTTGACGAAATCACTTTCTTTTTTGATTTGCAGTCCGGTTTGGTCCCCAGGTCCCCAGCCCAGTGCGAAATGAAATATCGATACGATATCGTTTCGACATAGCATGTCGAAGCTGTATCAAAATGGGTACAGTTTTTTTTTTATCGTTTTCGATAGGCATCGCGCTATCCACCTGCGCCAAACCACCCCAGGTCTAGTTTGAGCTTCCTAGCACGACAAACAAAGACATGTCACTGGAAACAAAAAGTGGTCCGCTAATTTTGACCGGCAGCATATGTTGCCTCCTACTTTCAGGAGTCTCGTCTAACGCTCTTGTAGCCCGGGGGTGTTGGCAGTGATGGTAAAGTGTGGGTTGAGGGGAGAGAGGGGGGGTGCAACTCCCCCCCCCCCCTTTTCCCCTTAAGATTGCTACTGAAAAGAGATGGCAGTTTGATGTTTTCATGGACATATGTCACCAGAATTCTTAATTTTTACCAGGGTGTGACTTACACAGATTCTGTCGCTTTTAAAAGGAAGTAAAGGAAAAGGATGTGTTGTAAGATATGTCAGCACATTTTTTGGACTCGTATTCTGACCTAAAATAATGAAATTCTCTCTCTCTTTCCAGGAGACATGGATCTACAAGGTAATTGCATTTAAACATCATACATTTTGAGAGATGAAAAACACACACCATTTTCTTGCTGCTGGTGCTGCTTTAAGAGCAACTGAAATGGTTTTGAGAAGATAAATGCAAACAATAACATGCATCCAACATCCAACTCATTGAAAATGTTTTATTGAGGTACTTTCTTTAGAATATAAACACAAATAATTATTTTCTTTTTTTGTACAATAGAAAACAAAGGAGCAAAGCTCTTTCAAGATTCAGTCCACGATGTTATGCGGTTCCACAAATTAATTGTCAAATTTATTGACACCAAGGAGTTTCAAAGACTCCGCAATATTAAACAGTTATCGACCACTTATTTGGTTTACCCTGCAGCCGCTCACAACCGCTTCGAGCACTGCCTCGGGTCAGTATTCATTTCCTATTTTAATAAGAGAATTTTGTAATATCAGTTGTGTTTGACCTTTTTCTTTTCTATTTTTTTTACAGAGTTTGCTATTTAGCAGGAGAGCTCCTTTCTAATCTTGAGGAAAACTCAAAAAATCTATGGAACAAAATTTTCCCTGTTGCAGAAGAGTATGTTTCAAAAAATCTACATTGTTTTTGTGTACCATGGGTATTGCTGTATATAAATAGATATAAATTACAGGTGGAAAAAAAAGAAATTGGCTGTCCAAATAGCTGGTCTGCTGCATGACCTGGGCCATGGGCCATTTTCACATACATGGGAAAAATTTGTGCTCTCGGCCACTGGAGAAAAGTGGGATGTGAGTATATATCTACCTTAATTAAGTACTATTAATAAACAAATGACTAAAAAAAAATTACCTTCAAAACTAGCATGAAGCTACATCATGTGCCTTGATAGATGAAATTATTTGGGATGGTGAAAACAAGGAACTCACAGAGGTTGGAAAGTGTTTCCAAGAAGAATTTCATGATGTGGAAGAGTATGTCCAATTTATTAAAGACATAATTAGAGGGGATAAAATTAATGACATCATCAAAGATGGTAGTGCCTCAGATAAAATAAAGGCCTTCCTCTACCAGGTAAAGTTGAGATGATGCCTAAAATCCCTTTTAATGGATCATCATTTACTACTACCAAGTGACTAATATTTTCTCCCCAACAGGTGGTGGCAAACAAAATTAATGACGTCGACGTTGATAAATTTGATTATTTTTTAAGAGATGCCCAGCATCTCAATATAGGGGTCCCATTCAATTACACAAGACTAATCAATTTGTGTAGAATAGAGATAGAGGATGGCATAAGCTATATAGCTTTCCGCGATTGTGAAAGCTATAGTTTAAAGGGCCTGTTCAGAACTCGGGCAGACCTTCATATACGAGCATACCAGCATAGGGTTGCCAAATGCTTGGAGACGATGTAAGTCAAGCAGATTTCTGATACATTATTAGTCATTGATATAAAATTACATTGAATTAATTGATTGGCTCTCAACAGGCTGGTAGATGCACTTTGTGCAGCAGACCGTGAAGGGTTCGAAGTTGGGTAAGTCCAAGGAAGGTTCATAAAAGATAAAGCTTTAGATAAATTAAAAATGTCCACATGATTTGCATTTTTTTTAACAGGGGTTTTCGATTGTCTCGAGTACAAGAGTGCCCACGTCTCTTCATAAGAATGACAGATTCTATTCTGGAGACAATTCAAAACAGTGAAGAAGAACCATTTAAAAAGGCGAGAGCCATAATCAATAGAATTGTTACAAGAAAGTTGTACGAAGTAGTTGGGGAATGGGTTCTGGATGTAAGTTTTTCCTCTAAGGTATCACTTAGCCACTTACACATCCCTATATATAAACTGTGATATTGCTTCTAGGTGGTTCAGACTGAAAATGACATACAAAATAACAAGCCACCATCTGGATTGGAACATGAAAAACTAATTGAGTTGGAAAACAAGCTAGGGACAAAATGTGCAGTGACACAAGTATGTGTCAATATGGGGAAGTACTACAACCCCATGAAAAATATGAGGCTTTATGCTAAAAATGGACGCAGAGACATATTAGATGAGAACACACCATCTATTGTGTAAGTATTGGTTACCAAATAAGGTGCATAAAACATACAAGGACCTCTACCTAGAAATGTAAATGACCATTTTTCCCCTTTTGATGCACAGGATGGATTTACCTTTCTACAAAGTTTATGTATTTAAGAAAGAGCAAGAGAACACTGATAATGAGGAGATAAAAATGACAGTAAAAGAGTTCCTGATAGAACAAAGGGTCTACAGAGAGGGAAATGAATAAGCCCTACAACCCCTCTCCATCTCTCTCTCTCTTAAAAATAAATAAATTGTATTTTGAGAATGTACTCTACTGAATATCTTTAAAAATGTTCTTAACTAGAATTTGCTAAGTGAAAAGGAATGAAAAATATTTCTCAACAAATTTAAACTTGATGAATGTGTTGTTTTAACTTTAAATAAGATAGTGTCCTTTATATATTTATGTTATAGTAATATATTTGTTTTATGATAGAACAAGAACCAAAGAGGAATTATGTTCCTATCAATAAACTTTCTTGATGTTGACTTTGATACTATTAATGGTATATCTATGTCAATCCTCACTCCTAAAGATCTGAAGATTTTGAGGTTTTATGGTCCATGGGAGGAGTGCAACTTTAAGAATGGTTCTCCATGCTTCTTGATAGGCCACAGCAGCTGCTTTGCATTCCATATAAGACAAACCCTTAGAAATAGATACCACTGCGGGAGAACACTCATCCAACAGCTCCACCTGGTTCCTTTGAAATTCCTTTAAAGACCAACAGTCCATAAACTGACGGAAGAGGTCCTTTTTGCTGATTAATAGCCGTCCAGCAGGAGTGCTTTGCTTTTTCTTAGTAACACCAAGCCGTTTTCCTTCAATTCCAACTTCGTGAGGCCTAAAGGCGAAAACCACGTCAGGTTACAACTGTTTACAAGCTTGTTTTCAAAAAATAAAACGTAGATACAAAAATACTCACCTTTCAACAGAGGCTGACCAAACAATACTTGATGGACATGGTCTTTGAGTATTACCCCTCTTCCTGTTTGGGAATGGCACAGTAGATTGAAATAAAATTGGCTTATTTATGAAATATCCAGGTGGTAGACAACACTTTCCAACTGATGCCTGGAAATAGAAAAGAACACTTGAAAGACCTTTAAAACTGCAAGGAGTACAATGATTTTCTGATCAATTTGACTTACTCTTTCTATAACAGCCCTTTTCAGTGCAGAACCAGAGAAAGGACAGCCGCCTCCAACTGTTATTGATTGCAAATAGATTGGATATCCAAGTAATCTTGAAAGAAGAGCACCCTGCAAATATTTTAAAATTTGAATTAAGACATTTGATACTAAAAGTATGATGAGGGAAGGTGCACAGGTCACAACACTTTTTAAAATTTTTACCTGAATTCCAACACAATTCCACCGCATCAACTTGTCACTGCAGGAAACAGAGAGAGTAGGATCCCCTCTTCCAGGCTTTGTTCTGACAGCTCCAAGAACATGGAAATCAAATCCTGGCAGCTTGAGGTCTTGTCTAGATTCTGTTGCTATACATTTAGCTCCAGTTCGATGAATGTCAGTTTTAAACCTTTTGGGTGCAGTTGAATCAGATTCTAAGCTCTTGCTAGCTACTTCAGAGCAGCCGTGAGGTCTTTTTGAACTTTGTATTTCATTTTTTACTAAGATGTTATGTTCTTGTGAGCCAGAAGATTGCTCTGGTGTCATGACAACACAACCACCAACATCAGTCATTTCTTCATCTTTGGGGAAAATGGAAGCATCTCCACACGGAGTGTGGCTTGAGTAAAAGTGAAAAGAGATCCCAGTTTTGAGACATAAATGTCCACATTCACATTTAAAGTGAAATATACTGGACTCATCACCTCTCAGCGCAAGACATACCTGGAATGAAAATGTATTAAAATATATTCACCTGAAACCAACATTCTTGTGAAAATGTTGACAACGTATCAACATTACTCACCTGGTGGTACAGGTATCTTAAGAACGCCCTTCTTGCAATTACTTCAGCATGGCTGTCATTCACAATATCTCCACTTTTACTTAACTTGCTTTGCCCAATGCATTTGGTTCCCGTACCAAGGGCAACAACTTTCAGGTCTGGATGGTTGTGACTTGACATAACATGTGAAGTTACCTTAAAATAATGATTATTTCATGTTACTTCTAATTTTTAGGAAAAATAATCACAATTAAGAAAATAGATTACCTGCACTATGGAGGCAAGTAAAGTCCATTCTGAGTCAGATTGAGGTTTACCAGTTTTGGGTAAGGACTTGTATGAAGCATGACTGACTTGAGCAACACAATCAGGAAAACAACTTTCCAGTTGAATAGGAGTAATTACCTCTCTCTTGACACAATTGCAAACAGATGTTACTTCTTTTTCACTTGCTCTGCATCCATCACTCATTTTTCACTAGTTTATAATTCTAACCTGTTTCACTCTTAAAAGCTATCAAAAAATACCTTTCTATTGCCAACTCTCCCATATATTAGAAAAATAAGGAATACCTTCACCTTTAAACTAAATTGAAATTTGAAGGTAGCAATTAGCAGGATAAGTTAGGCAACAACATCTGGATTCCAAGCATACTTTTGAACAGTTGTGATTGAATTTATCAGAGTTATCTGCGAGTCAGACAATGTGAAGTCCAATTCAAAATTGTTTTGGATGTGCTGCTTAGTTACAGCTTTGGGAATCACACCTGAAAATGGGTAGAAAAAATGAAAATATGCTAGACAAGGCAAAGCAATAATGTAAGAATTCTAATTAATATAAATATGAGCAGCCTACCAATGTTCTGCTGAAGTGCCCAACGCAAAAGCACTTGAGCAGGTTGCCGTCCGCAATCCCTTGCCACTTGTAATATGATTGGATCAGACAAGAGGCTTTTATTATTTGTTCCACCAAATGAACTGTAAGCTTGGACAAAAATTCCTGCTTGCTTGCAATGAGACAGTAGATCTCTCTGAGGGAAGTGTGGATGGAGCTCAACCTTTAAGTAAGAAAAAAAAATTGACATAACACGGGGAACAACAAATCAGTCATGAAAGAAGGTCACATGAACATACATACTTGATTCACTGCTGGTTTAACACCTTGACAATCTGCTAAAAGCTCATCAATGTGTCGAACAGTAAAGTTGGACACACCGATTGCCTTCAGGATGCCCGTCTTATGCAGAGCAACTAACTGCTGCCAGGCCGCACGCCTGAGTCGACGGTTATCTGTATCGCCGGCTGGTATACCAGCTGTACCAGGCCAGTGTACAAGGAACAAATCCAGATAAGAAGTCCCGAGCTGTGAGAGACTCTTGGAAACAGCTCGTTCAACACGATCCGGGTGATGATCCTCTGGAGCTATACAAGCCAGAGAGTGAAGTTTTAAATGAATACCAAATGGTAATATAGTTCAAATGAGAGCTTGTCTGATTAATGCTTACCTAGCTTACTGGTGAGAAAAATATCTTCTCGCTTCAATCCGTACTGCGGTAAGAGCTCTTTCAAAGCTGCACCAATATCGGCTTCGTTCTGATATACAGCTGCTGTATCTGAAACGAAATTTGAAAACAAATGGAGTTCTGGGAAATGATGGGCATTAAATTATTCACATGAATAGATTACAAATACAAATAGATTACTTACCAATTGATCGATAACCCTTCTGCAAGGCAACTTCAATGACGTTGTAAATGACACTTTTCCCCCGCACTCTAAATGTGCCTACTGCTCAAAGCAAATAAAAGAAAATTAAGTCACTGGAGTTTAAATGTAATTTTTAAGATAAAATTTTGTGTGGTATGTCCGGTTTATGGCACAGTAGATTGAAATAAAATTGGCTTATTTATGAAATATCCAGGTGGTAGACAACACTTTCCAACTGATGCCTGGAAATAGAAAAGAACACTTGAAAGACCTTTAAAACTGCAAGGAGTACAATGATTTTCTGATCAATTTGACTTACTCTTACAATAGTTGTTGTAACTAGAACAGAACACTTGTCATAAAAGTAAAAAATATATAATAGAAATGTATGTCTTACATCCAACCATAGGCATCGGCTGACCAGTGTTGAGTACGCAAAGCAAGTTAGCAGCCATCACTAACAGGCAAACTGAAAATGAAATGAATCACCAAAACAATTACTTTAAAGCACCTTTCAGCACAGATAACAAGGTCTACAAGACAAGCTTTTTTAAGAGATTTGAAATCAGTTGAAAGGGATGCACTGAACTACTTTGTGCCATTGATTCAGAATGTGAGGCTGGTAAATAAATGAGAAACAGTATTGGAGACACAAGCTTGGTTTATTCAATTCATCAAAGTTTATAAGTACTTCAAAAGGAGCAGTAAATCTAGTTACACCAATATTTCTTTGGTTCTTTGTTTTCAAAATTGATTCAGGGTCTTGCCCATCACATAAATGACATGAAAATCTGTTGCTTTAATTCCCTTTTAAAAATAATAAAATTTTTCCTATCTTACAATACATACTAGGTAATTAATATGTACGGCAGTAAATAGATTTGCTCGGAGAACACTTTGGTAGTTCTACCAAATCATCATTGTGCTGAGAGCAAAAGCAATTGACGATAGAACTAAAATTTGACACAATTGATTAGATAGAGTTCTAACACAGTGTGACAGATATAGAACAAGACAGCAAATTCTATTGACAAAATAACCTGAAATGGAAACAGTCAACATTCATGGATACAGCATTACTATACATGCCAGTCATGAGTTGCGGGGGCTTCCAGAGATTTACAGAATGATTCAATGGCATAATAATTCAGAAAATATTACCAATTAACTCATCCATGTGTGGAAGAAAAAGGGGGAAAAAGAGAGAGACTCGATAGGAAAATTATACAGCAAATTGTCACTTCCACCAAAGGCTGTACATAATTTATAGGTTTGAAAACAAAACTTTTACCATATCATTCAAATTAAAAAATTAAAATACATTACACTCTGTAGTGATAGTGTTACACATAATTGAAGACAGTTAAAATGACAACAATCAGAAGTAGTATTGTGGACAAGCATGGGCCCTAAGGACAAAACACAACCATGAAAAATGAGTTTGATTAAGGCTTAATGAAACTGATAAAGGTGAAATTAAAGGGCAGATGGACACATTTCAGAAATATGATCTGTAACTATTTTTGGAAAAACAGAAAATCATTCAATGTTAAACACACACAATTCAAAGAAAATGTTCAGTCTTTTTGTTTTGTCTTCTTTACACATGTAGCTCCAGATTCAAAGTTAACCTTATCCATCAATACTGACATTTGGAAAATGTGGGCAATGATAATGAAGTTATACCTTAATGTTGGAACAAAAACATTGTTACAACTATTTCAGGTGGGGGAGGCAATTTACAGTATGTGTGAGGGGGGAAAAAAGGAGTACTATGTGGGATACAATGATCCAACCCAATTCATAGAACTAATTCATTTCTGATTATTTCAGTTTCAGATTGACATAACTTTTAAAATCAAGTATAGCTGGTTGAGCTTTAAAACTTACAATATACAAACCTAAGTCTTTAAAATATTATGCTTCTGCTCTTAATAAATTCTTTGTTTTATATGGTACACATATGTTTACAATCACAATTTATAACGGATTAAAATAATGCTTTATACAGACAGTATAGTGACATTTGTTGAATTACATGACATAGAGTTACATGAAGATGCACTACAAGAGATTCATATAACAAGAAGAAATAAAGATAAATAATAGAATGAAACATGTTTAAAACATGTGTGAACATGAAAATCAATCCATTTTTAGTTGCAATGGTAAGATACAGTATATGTTAACACAACTAAATGTATATGCATGATTCCCAAGAATGGGAGTTAAGTTACAAAATTTAAGAACTGCGGGAATCTGTGCCCATAGGACTCCTTGGTTCTGAACTTGTTTCCGATTGACTATCTTTCTCTGATGAAACACTACTTGAAGCACCAGACTGGTCAACGGGTACCTTAGGCTTGAACTCTGTTATCATCACCGTAACATTGTTAACAGTCACTCTTTCAGTCTGCGCTGTACTGCGATCTACATTTTTGAGACGTGGTGGTCGCCTGTTCTTTTTCTCAGACTTGTCAAAATCTTTTTTATCAGATTTGTCCTTTCCTTCACGTTTATGAGTTTTAGGAGGAGTTGGATTATATTGTTGCGCAACCAGCTGAGGATTTATGCGCGGTTTGCGTGTGGAAGTTCCCTTTTGAACGTCACACATTAGGCACTTGAAGGCTTCCGCAGTGTTGCGGTATGTACACACGCTGCAGTCCCAGTAGTTCTCTTCCAACACTTTGGCTTGCCTTTTATTTCTTTCAACACTACTTGTAGACATGTTTGTGGCGCCTCAACAGCAACCAATGTTTGTGGACCAAGGAGACTGCTTGGCTTGCTCAGCACAGACACCACCGGTCAGCACATCCCTTTCAACCAACATCACGGATTTTGCTCTCTTAGCTGCTTTGGACCTCATGATGGGGCCCTTTAGGCCAGGCCCTTCCCTACTCACCCTCCCATGCCCGTCCCGTAGGCCAGGCAATTGCCCTTTCGTCACTCCGTACAACAACAAAGTGCTCGGAGCCTAGTGTCACAACGGAACGGGGTAACCTGACTTCTTGTCAAAATCTGGAACGGTACAACCTAGCGGTCCAGAGGCCAGGACGCCCTATCATTTAAGTCCTCCAGGGCTTTACCTACCATGAGACCAAAACAGAGTCAAGCCAATGAACGGACAAAATCACTGGTAAAGAGTCGGTTGGAGTCGGAGTTGCCAAAACTTGTTTGACGGGATAAGTGCGAAAACGTACCTGGAGGGTCATTAGAGAGCTCACCGGAAGCGCCTTCTCATTCAGTCAAAACAGAGTAAGATGGCGAACCATGATCCAGTGCGAGGCTACGTCATTTTACGTATGAGAAATAATAATTATATCTCTGCTGCCATTAGCGCCCTCGCTCAGGGCAAGAGAGGGGTTTGTTTTCTCTTTTCAGGTGTTTTCGCAGGTTACAGCTAAGTCCTAAGTCTCGAGACCCGACTTCGGTGTCGGTGTGGAGGCGGCTACCCAGAAGAAAACGACCGAAACGACACGCATGGCGAGGCCCCCATGCCCCTGTAGTTGGTCAGTTTCATCCCCATCCCAGTGGAGTGGCGAACGTGGCCACCATATGGTCACGCTGCTGGAAAGTTACCGGCTAGAGGGAAGGCCGACTGCAGCCATTAAGGTATGTCGGTGACAAAAATGTGGGTCACGAGGTATTGCCTATTATCCATGTCATCGGATCTTTCATTTTACCATGAGTTCAAAGAGATTAATTAGCAAGGTAGTTTCTGCTGCCTCCGCGGGTGAGGTATGCCAACCACATTACAGGAGCGAGCGGACGCAGTCTACACCATGGTCACATCTCTTTTGCGACAGGTGGCTATAACCACCGCACGGTCACTTTGTCTCAGGAGAACAGCGGGTATGATCCCCATGCAGTTGGTCAATATGTGGTTTCTGCCCGATATTCCCCTTGATCAATGACTCCATGGTGCCACAAAGAAATTACTGGAGCAAGGAAAAGTGTCAGGTGTCAGTTAGCGGGTAACAAAAAATTAAACCTAAATTTTTCGAAAACGAATTTTGTTTATATGCCAGCACTGGCTGATATAAGAGGTTCCTAACAAAAAAATAAAAACTTTTGAAGCCTGGATGTCACAGTTGACATTTGCTTTTTTCTGTGATAATTCAACCTTTTGGGAGTGTTTGACTCATGTCGAATAGCGATCTCCCAATTTACAAAAGTAAGAATATGAAGAAGATGACGATCAGTGCGTTTGTTCAACCTCTTACAAAGGCTTTTAATGAACCAAGAACCACCAGGTCTTTGAAATGAAACATAGTCTGTAAGAAAAAGGAGGAACTCAATAATATGAAAAACATGAGGCAAAAAAATAAAAAGACAGCAAACAATTGTTACCAGGAATTGTAGAAAAGGCAACAAGAAAATCATCTTTGATATCAAGATGGTTACCACCATCATCATCTTCATATGCCTCATTAAAAATAGCAACATCAACAGAAGACTCTTCATTAGTTGCTTGAAAAAACATCTTTCCTGAATTTTGAGCAAGCTTTTCATCTTCAGAAGATAATTGTGCTTCATTGACACTCAGATCTATTCCTGATTGAGCATTTTCCCCTCTGCAGGCCTAAGAATATTTCTTTGTAAATTGACATGACTCTTTTTTGAATGTTTGTACATGTACATTTGATACCCAAATGTATTTCTTACTTGTATAAAATACAACTTTGGCTTCCCAGCCAGTGTGACACAATTTGCAGCACAAAAAGGTTTAAACAGTTCATTTAGATCATAAACTGAATCATAGGCAAAGAGGAAATTGTCAAATGTACCATGAGTAGAGACAATAATGGCTAGGCATCCTCTATTACTATGATCTTCCTTACTCACTGGAAATGGACAAAATGACGGACATGAAATACAAAATTGTCCAGGAAAAAAGAAGTGATTAAAATTAGTATTATAATAATGAAACATTTTCAATATGGTAACCTTACTGTCATTCAAAATTTGTTTAATCTCATGAAATTTCTTGTCTTTTAGTATTTCTACATCAAAGCCAAGTCCTTCAAAGCATCTCTTTGATAAGTCAATATCTTGCTGACAACAACCTCGATCTCCCAATTCTCCTTCCCACCCAGCAACCTAAGAGAAATTCTATTGTCATTTAGCAAGACGGTATGACGCTAAAATAAAAATAAATTTATCATACCAAAAAGTTCTTACTTCAAATGTGCTATGTGCAATGATTATTGCAAGTCCTCTTGAACCATAGTCCATTTTATATTTCTGATGAGCTTCAACACTGCTGGAGATTTTCTTTTAGAAATTACACTTTTAATTATTTTTTTTCTTCAAATGAGTCTGGTCCAAGACTTACTTGAGCAGAAAGCTTGGATCATCTGCAGTTGAATCATCCGAATCATCTTCAGAAAAATGCAATAAATTTGTCTCTGATTTTTGAGCCATGGTGTTGCGGGTGAGAGCCTCACTTGAACTTTGAGTACAAATTAGATATAGAGCTCTACTGCAAGGATTCCACACATTGTATGATGCAGATTCTTATCTTGAGTCAGGAGGTTGGGGAGAGGGGGTACTTATAGATACAGACATGCACGCAAGGATTGATAAGATAGCAGATAATGACACAAGCAGGAAAATACACAATGTTAGTTGAATGAACATTAAATTAAGAAATAGAAAAATTCAGAGAATTAAGGTTTAGTTACATTGTTTTAATTATAGAAAGAAAACTAATAAAGTAGGCTTCTACAGGCTTCTCTATGCTTACTTTCCATGTTTATTTTCTATGTTATTTTGTTTATTTTGGCATTTTGTTTCTTATATACTCTTATGGCTTGTATACTTGTATATTTGGATGAACTATAAACAATTCAATTCAATTCTGCATCTTAATTGAACTTTTCAGGTTGACATTATCATGCGGTATAAGATGATTTTTCAAAAACACATAGAGATATTCCACTCAAAACCAGGGCAATCCCAATAAATGTTTCTGTAACAAGAGAAAAGATTAAAAACAAAATGAGCATTATTGTCAACTTTTTACTTGTTCTTTACCTCCACTCTCACTTCCCTCTTGGAGGTGGGAGAACTTAGTAGTAGTAGCAGTAGTGTGGCCAAATGGAGGGACTTACTTGCATTAGGTATGCCTTCGCTGAGAAACCAGCCAGAAATTGCAGTGAAAACAAATGTCAGTGAGTTTGCTATGGGAACTGCAACGGACATTTCTAAAAACAAATATTTGAATTCATGGTACAGTACACGGTAATAAGAGAGCCTCCATCAGTTCTCAGCTCAAAGTGAATGTCTAATTATCGCCAATAATTTAATGTTTTCCATATAAAAAATCAGTACAGACTCAACAAACCTGTATTTTGAAGGGTGAGGAAGTATACTACTGACCCCGACTGATTAAGAAGAAAAGGTATCATATACTGCAAAGACAATACGAATTAAGACGAGGTACAATGTCAAAAGCATACAAACAGATAGACCAGGATAGAATACCTTCCAATTCAAGAGCAGCAAATAAACTTCCTTCCATAAACGAGCAATAATATTATTTCCCTCAACTTTATCCATTCCTGTGGCGCCTTTCTTCAGAAATGGATTGGTGCCTCCCCATAAGAAGCCAACAAGTGTAAGCCATAGCAAAGAATCTGAAAAACCAAATACTTAGAAAAAAAAGGCCATAGGTTATTTCAATAAAATGAAAGACTTCCGCTTTCAGTTTCAACTGAATTCAAAATATTGATCCATTTTATTTTTTTATTTTTCAATATAAGATAAGTGTGAGGTTATTATTTTCAATTACACCTACAACAATCACCATCGACGTCGACATTGCTATTCCAATAAACTTGTCATAACTGGGTACTTACCAACAGACACGGACATTCTGTAGATGTCAAATATAAGAACATGAACAAAATTGGAAACGATCAAACATTCAACATTACATGGACAGTGTTTGAACCCGACCCCGACCGCGCCGCGCCACACTCACACCGTCACACACACACACGGGGTGGGAGGCGGGGCACACTCACACAGATGCAATCAAAATCAAAACAAACAAGTGAAGTGACAGTTGACGTTCGACGCAGGCCAGCAGCAGCAAGAACAACAACAACAAACATTATGCGTATTCCAGACGGAATTATCGAAAGTTTTGCTGTGATTGTGATTGTGTCCGACTTGGCGGGGCCTTAATGTTCCGGAGGTCCATGCCTAATGCTCGAAGAAATCGTAGAATGAACAGAAGTAATCAACTGTCAAAAGCTGTTGAGACAGTCGAAACCATGGAAGAATCCGGAGAACAAGGGACGGTACGTAAGAATTTCGTCATCTCAATTCTTTAAATTAGTATGATTTCAAATAAGATTTAGAGCATTCAACATTTATCCGCTAAATTAACCTCTGCAGTGGCTAGTAATCCAACGTTGATGTTTCAAAGCAATTACATTTACTGTGAGGCAACTTAACCTGGATTTCCTTGTTGCACACTTCTTTTGGGATTACCCCTCACAAGGAGTAATTTGAGCACTGACGTTCTAATGATACCCTACTTTGACGTTTTCCATGGCTCTTCTTGATGTCATCGTGACACCGATTTGACTCAAAATGTCAATTCACGGTCCAAATGACATCACGAAGAGTCATGGAAGACGTCAAAATAGGGGACCATTTTGACATCATGCTGACAGTCAGTACTCAAATTCCTCCTTGGAATGTGGAATAATGTCTCTTTCTCTTGAACTTAATTATTCATGCTTTCATCTATCTGATACCGATGTATTCTCCTCTCCTGTGCTGCCCGGCCATTATGATGTGGATGTATTTTACAGGAATTGGTTAGTCATCATGGGGTGATCCTCAAAAGTCATAAAAGTTATGATTGCGCTGGAACACTGAGTCTCATGCAATATGTGAGTAAGAATTGGAGTTCATTTTTATTTCTTAATTTTACTTGATGTTATTCTTGTTTTTATTTGTTTCAACATTATTTTTCCGTTAAGGGTCGAAACAAGTACATAGAATGGAAAGCAGCGGAAGTAAATGTGGACTCAGACACACAAGATCATGAATGGGCTGTAGTAAGCACTGGTCGAAGCTCTCGTCATCGTAGCAACAGTGGTAGGCAATTTCGTCATTAGATATTTCTGAGTCATTTTTCAAATATTTTATACCCCTTTTTTTGTTACAGAATGTGCGCGGGCTGAGCCTTTGCGACTAAATACAGTGAATTTGAAGAGTTTTAGAGTGTCCCGCCATAGATATGGCCAACATCTCACATTTGCTCAAAGAGGTGAGAGTCGATCTTTCATAACATTCATATTTCACCAAGGCAATGCTGACGTTTTTGTAAAATCTTTGCTGGGACAGCTTAAAGCTTACAGGTAATCATTTAATTCAGAACTGTTTTCTCACTTGAATATTATGTTGTTGATAAAATATTGATCGTAATCTTTCTAATTTGAAAACTGTCTTCTAGATCTAGAAGAGATCGAAACTTGTATGATTTAGCGGAAGAAGACAGTCAGGAAACTCAGGAGTTGAGACGGTCTTTTGCAGAGCTGAATCTTTTCCCTGAAACAGCACCATATGGTGTGTGGAATTTTATTGGTCAATTTCGACAGCGGCCATATGAAGCTACTATGGGCGCATTTAGCAAAATTACTGATGCATTATGTATGTACATGTTTACTTGGTTCATTTTTGATGTGTTACAGTATGTTTACTTCTCACTATTTTTTATCTCTTTATCACAGTGTATAAGCCTGCTGAAAACGATGATAGTAGTGTGGCAGAATTACTCAACAACTCACTAATGGAAGAAGATGCAGTAATTGCTAATGTTAGTGGTGAAGAGTATGAAGTCATAGGAAGCAAAGCAACTCCTATTTTACCCTCAAGACCACCTGTCACCCGGGGGGCTCCACTCTCTGTTGAAAGATGGGCACAGGCAACTGCTGAAGATGGAAGAGTAACAGATGTGACAGCCATAAAAAAGATTATATTTCATGGTGTAAGATAATTTGTTTAAAAATTGTGTTATATCATTATTTTGTTATGTCGTTTTTCCTCCTGTTATTACATGATAAGCAAAATTAAATAGTCCCAATAATGTTTTTAAATCTAGGGTGTGAATCCATCTCTGAGATATGAAGTGTGGAAGTTTCTCCTTGGATATTACTCCTGGAATTCTACTTATGCAGAAAGAATGTGTCTTCGTAAATCCAAAGTTGAAGAATATTACCAAATGAAACAGCAGTGGAAAAGCATGACCCCTGGGCAAGAAGAAAGATTTTCAGACTTTAGAGACCGAAAAAGTCTCATTGGTGAGCAACAATTTGTAAAAAGAGAGTTAATTGGTTTCAAATTTGAAAAAAAAATTTACTGGTACCTATTAGATTATATTTTTTATTTTTATCTTCTCCAGATAAAGATGTCAAAAGAACAGATAGAGTTTTGTCATTCTATGCCGGGGATGACAATCCTAATGTTGACCTGTTGAACAGCATCCTCATGACCTATGTCATGTACAATTTTGATTTAGGCTATGTGCAGGGTATGAGTGACTTGCTCTCCCCTCTACTACAGTTGATGTCAAATGAGGCTGATGCATTTTGGTGCTTTGTTGGTTTTATGGATCGTACTGTAAGTAAATCAATTAAATTCATCAAAGAAATGATAATGTTCCATTCCTTTCAAATTATCAACACTTGTTCTTCTTCCGACAGTGTACCAATTTTGATATGGATCAAGCAGGTATGAAACTGCAATTGACGCAGTTGCACACCTTGTTGTCCATTCTGGACCCGCAGTTCACCCATTATTTGGATCAGCATGAGTCAGGCAACATGTTTTTCTGCTTCCGTTGGCTTCTTGTTCTTTTCAAAAGAGAATTTACTCAGGAAAACATCATGCGTTTATGGGAGGTGAGTTCAATGAGGTTTCCATATCTGGATCTGTATGTATTATTCTAACTATGCCATACATAATGAAATGATTTTGTTATGTCACCACCACCCTCTAAAACTCTTTTGTTCTTAAATCACTTAATTATCAATTATTCTTATGGAAACTTGAATTGCGCTGTGCATCTCTCAATTTACAGGTGTTTTGGTCTGATTTGCCTTGTCCAAACTTTCATCTGCTGTTTTGTGCTGCAATTCTGGACTCTGAGAAAGAAACACTTTATGCTAATAACTCTGGCTTCACTGAAATATTAAAGGTAAATTATCTACTGGCTGTCTCTAGATGAGTTATCCTGGCAATCTCTCTAAAATTGTGAAGTTTTTAGTTGCCTTTTAAAATATATTTTTTATTTTGTACAGCATGTGAATGATCTCTCCTTAAAAATTGATCTGGACAGCACATTGTCTAAGGCAGAAGGATTGTACTTACAGCTGATGAATATTGAAAGTGAATTGCCTGATTCTGTAAGAACAATAATTGGTTTGGAGCCATTAAATCCTGTTGACGGTGACTCTGAAAATGACAGCATCGAGGATGATGATGGTGACTGTAGCAACCACACAGAGCATGACTCATCGATTGAAACTGTGAGTTTAGGGGCATTGGGGGGCGAAGTGGCTTTTGAACGAGGTATAAATTTTCAGTACATGTAACTAATTGTTGATGGTAGGTTACTAAGATCTATTCTGTTTGCATGAATTAGTTCCCTTCCTATTCCTACCAATTTACATTTTTGTTTTATATTGATCTTTGTAGATTTAGATAACATGAAATTGGGGAGGTATTCAACTTTCTTATGGAAGAAGCAATTATAGAAATTCAGTGAATTATCATGTTTTGTGGAGGATGAAAGACTTCTATACTTCATTTTGCCCGTAAACTCTGTGATCACATCCTCTGTTTGCAACACCAGCACTAATATTTTGTACATGTTTATATTGTGATATTAAATAAAACCCCTGAATAAAATAAAATTGATTTTAATTCATTCATAAGTTTATGTTCTTTAGCAGCATATCAGGCAACAATCACAGTTAAATAATAGGCAATAATCATTTATTTAATGGGATTCTAGGACTTGACTTGCTGAAAACTTTCCTTCAATGATCTTCACATAACAGTTCATATACATGCACATAATTTCCCAACATATTTGACAAGTAATAAATTAATAAATTAAGATAACCTTAAGGGAATATTTGGCCATAATAGAGGGTTAGACTTGCTACGATTCATATCAAAATTAATTTGCATTGATAGTTCCATACTTAAAATTTTAGGGGCATCACCTCCATATAACAGAGTCATGTCAGTAGATTTTTGTGAAGTAGATATTGGACCCATTGAATAAACTTGTTCTATGAGAAAGACAACAAAAGAAAGAAACTGAGTTACTCAGAAAAATAAAATATAGTAAGTAACCACTTAACTGGAAAAACATGAAGTACCTACCGTTTTCACTATGACTGTCTTCACTTTCTCTCTTACGCTCTAGAGATTGTCTTTTTTCTGGTAGACAAAGATGTGGTATTAAAATCACTTCAAAAAAATACAAAGAGTAAAGTAACATATTTTTAGAGGTTTGATACAAACTTCTTTCTATTTTGTGTCTCATGGTTTTCTCATAAAATGCAAGGAGTTCTTCATCAATTTCAATGTCTTCACAAGCATAGTCATCATCGTCTTGATTCGTTACGACTTCTTCTTCCTGAGCTGCACATGGTTCATTGTTTTCTGAACAACAAAAAAATTGTGTTAGTAGGCAACTGTGAGTGCAGTATACTTCCAGTGCAGTTCAAAGTAATATGTACCAAATGGATCACGACACACAGCACCACTGTGGAACCCTGACTGCAGCTACAAGTGAAAAGATCAAACTCAAACGTAATACAACTGAAATAACCATAGTTATAGTATTGCTAATTTAATAAAAGAAAAATTGTTTTTTAATAATCATATTACCCCTTTTTGAATGTAACCCTTCAGCAACGCATTCTCCACTTCCAAAGCCCGAGCTCGAGCTTTCCAGTGCGACATCTGGCTGTTGTTTCGCCATTCGAAGGCACGATGATAATTTTGCCAATAAATATTAAATCCCTTTTCGTTCATTTCTGTCTCTTTTTATAAATAGAAAAAACTATTGTGTAAAGTTAACCTTAGAGGTTTGTGATTGTTTTCGTGGGTGCTTTCCATTTCGGCACAGTAGTGCAGCACAGTGGTCATGGTCATTACGACAGAGGAGTGGGGGTAAAATTAGGAAGAGAGCGCGTGGTTTCGGTCTGTGTGCAGCGATCCGCGGACTCCGGCGCAAAACGGCAAAACGTGAACGTGCGTGAAACCAGTGAAACCGAATGCCGCGGGAACGCGAACAGATAACTATCTCAAAAGCCAGAATTACTTGTATTACTTGAAGAATTGTGTGATATTGTTGGAAATTTATTCTTGCGTATGTAGCGTATTTATTCTTGCTACCCGGAAACCCTTTGGAATCGAAAATATTATTTATTTATGTAGTTAGACTCGCAGAAGTTCGTACCTATGCTTTGTGCAAATTGCTAGAAGAATGGATTTTATTTTCCAGGTAAGACAGCCGTGCTACTTTATCAGCTACTATTCTTGAAATTGTTGCTGTTTTTGTTTTATATACGTAGACTTCTTATTGTTTTAACTTACAATTTTATTCTGGTCTTTATTTTGTGTTTTGGTCATGATGCATAACCTCTGTCCACTTTTTCTTACAATTCCTATTAGTCAAGAACCAGTGCATTACATCAACCCGCTGCGAATCTCTACAGTGATGCTTAGAACTATTGTAATTTTTATTGTATCCCCATAGACTTTGCCTTTTAACATGCTCTTTAAAGTTGTTTTTTAATTGTTGAGGATCAACAAGTGTTCTAGGAATGGAACACCTCACGAAAGAAACGATTTTCCTATTTTCGGTTCACAGACTTATCCATAGCAGCAAGAAATGTGGGAGACTGACGTTTGAAGTACTTTTGTAGTCTTGTTGTCAACGCAATCATGCCACGCTCATCCCCAGCAGATGTTGAACAGGGAGGCACTCCCTTACGAAATCATGACAATTATGAAGAACTTTCAATGATTGGAGTTGGTAAGCCTTATTCTTCATTTTGCCCTTGATAGCACATGCTTTACTCAGACAGGGCTGGACAGGGTTTAAAGTGTTGATTTTGTTCCTAGGGTCCTATGGGACAGTGTTCAGAGCAAGGGATCGATCAAATCCTGATAACATTGTGGCTTTAAAAAAAATCCGCGTGCCTCTGTCTGAAGATGGCGTGCCTTTCAATACGCTGAGAGAGATCTCTCTTCTGAAACAATTGGACCAATATGAGCACCCTAACATTGTTCGGTAAGTTCATCAAAAGATTGACACTTATCATTTCTTAAAGTCTTACAGCTCTTTTATATCTAAGTGTAATTATTGTTTTAGATTACTTGATATTTGTCACGGTCAAACAATGGAAAGAGAGCAACAACTTGTGCTCTACCTTGTGTTTGAACATGTCGATCAAGACTTGGCAACCTACATTGAACGATGTCCTCCCCCAGGATTAGGATCTGCCCGTATCAAGGTAGAGTTTTTATTATTATCTTCCTCACTCTTTCTTTGATAAATGTTTTAGTTTGAGTATTTTAAATATCCTTTTTTTTTATTTTTAGGACATAATGTATCAACTGCTGAATGGAGTGGACTTTCTTCACAGTAATAGAATAGTTCATCGTGATCTAAAGCCCCAAAATCTGTTGGTAACTAATGGTGGCAATGTTAAGCTTGCTGACTTTGGTTTAGCAAAGACCTATGATTTTGAAATGAGATTGACATCAGTGGTGAGTAAATTTTAACACCCTCAAATAAAATAATGTGGTTACCACATTTATTAGTTGTAGATTTGGGTTATATTGTTAATTTTTAAATAGGTTGTTACACTCTGGTATCGATCACCAGAGGTTTTGCTTGGGTGCTGTTATGCCACTCAAGTGGATATATGGTCTTGTGGTTGTATAATGGCAGAACTCTTCAGAAGATCTCCGTTATTTTGTGGTCAAAGTGAGGTAGATCAGCTTGATAAAATTTTCCAGTAAGTTGTCTTGTCTTTATTTCCCAAGAAAAATTACAAAATGATTTTTAGGTCATAGTTTGATTTTTCTTTATCCTGAATGTAGAATTTTAGGTACTCCATCAGAAGAGGATTGGCCTGACAATGTCAACCTCTTGTGGAATGCTTTTCAAAGACACCCCTCTTCACTCATTCAAGATCATGTTCCTGAAATTTGCAATGATGGAGTTGATCTTCTAAAAGTAAGACCCCTGCAGCTATTTCTATCCCACATAATTAGATTTTTTTTCTTGACTCATACCATTTGCTTTTTTTTCTTCTTCTAGAAAATGTTGCATTTTAAAGCAAATGACCGCATCAGCACTGCAGAATCGCTTAATCATCCCTACTTCTCCTCCTCTGGATATGCACCTGCTATGTCTCTACTTTCCTCCATGAGTCCCAATCGTTCGCTGACTCCACCCAGCGGGGAATCACAAGTTTCTCCTGTTGTCTCCCCAAGATCTACACCAAACTCACTCAGTCGTAGTGCGTCTGAGTCAGCAGACAATTGAAATTGATCTCACCCAGGGAGTCATAAAGAAATTTTATTGCCACTCCTCATCTTCATTTGGATACTGTCAGCTTGTCTGTGATTGCCTAGTTTCCTGATGAGAACATTCCTTCATTAATCGTGGACTAATTACTCTCCTAAAGTATATTGAGAATGTTTCAGTATATCTATCACACAGCATATCTAATTTTAATCTTGTGTGATGGAATGAATTTTAATGTGCATACATCTTGTGATTACCTAGTAGAATTCCATAACACTGGGCTTCCGCATTTTTCCAGGTCTGTGATAACATAACCATGTGTATACAGTAATTGTAAGAGTTCATTTTTTTAAATTATTGAATGAATTGCTCAATTGAATCTTAATGAAAAGTTTTGCTCATATGGGAAGGATCTCATTTCATGGATGAGTGTAACATAAATATGAGAGAAATTAAGTACTGTTGCCAGTTTTAAAGTGGTCTTGGACTATCAGTGCCTTTTGTTTCTAAGTGCAAGTTTTACGTTATCATAAGTTATACTTAAAATTCGACAGGCCTTTGCATAAGTAGGTAAGAGTAAGATGCAATAAGTAATTTTAAAGGTGTTCAAATTATGTTTTTAACTGACAGAATACTTGGTTGTTTTCCAATTTTTACATTAGTTTGTAGTTTGTATCTGTACTTTTTAAATTGATAGGGGAAAAAGAGAAACACTCTCATTGGTTGTTGATTGATTGAACTATACATACTTCTTTATGTATTTTGATGCACGATCTGACTGTTTCAGATTGTGCGCAGCTTGTTTGAGATAAAGTCTGTGCTCAACCTCTCTTCTGTAAAATTCTCGAGGTTAAACATTTAATTTGGTTTTTCTTGGCATTATTTCATCATACTATGTATTTGTTACTGTAGACAAGATTTCATGGTATACAATTTATTTGCATAACATACTATTTGTCTGCATACAGAAGCACTAGCAATATTGTTGTATGCATGAAAACATATCTTTTTCTCTTGAGGTATTCTTCAGATTTGTGTCCTTTACATATTTTTGTATCATATGTACTATTTATTTATTGCTCACTTTAGCAACTAAGGAATTTTTGTCTTAGGTGAACATGTACTTAAGGCACAAGTTGTTTCCTTTTAAATAAGAATAACATGGCATATCATTGAAAGCTCATGTGAAAAATAAAAGATGCACAAACATTATTTGTCTCCCTTTATGTATTACATGTGATTCATTGTTGTAATGTTATCAAAATCTTTTTGTAATAGTTTTTATGTACACTTCTAAATAGGTTTTTAGAAAACAAAAGTAAAGTGGTTGATAAATTTTATCTGGATTGTAGCTTGTTTTTTTGTGGGTTTAAAAGCAAATCAAATACAACCTCTTCAACCACAGCACAACTGAGTTATTATTTTTTTGCAGGCCCTTCCCTTCATTGGGAGAGATAGAAAAGGTCCCATTTAATACTTCAAATTGTACGATATTGTCCTCTAATTCTAAAGATATGTTTCATTGACGGGGTATACCCGCTATTGGTATGATTGCAGCTGGCACTCCTCGGAAGCCAGATATCAGTCTCATTGGTAACTTTTGTTGAGGTATTGTGGGCGCCTGGCGTGCGCGCTTACTTCAGCTCTGAGGCATGTTCTGTAGGCCTACGCCTACGGTCTGCTCGGCTCCGAGTAGCCTGGCCACACGCTCCTCCAGGTTCATGGTGCGCTGCTCCAGGGCCAGGATGGGGAGCTCGGGGGCGCGCCGACGCCTCTGCAGACTAGCGCCGTCTTCCACACTTTTGGTTTGCTTCTTCTTCCTCCTCAGATTGCCACTCTCGTCCCTGGACACTTTCAACTCCCCGTCGGAGAGGTTCGCCGACTGGTCCGTGTCCACGTCTACCTTCCCGTCGGCAGCACCTCGCTCCAGGTCGGGCGTCGAGCGTGGTTGGGCTGGAGCTGCCGGTGTGAGGCCCTGGCCCTGGGGCTGGGCGATGTCCACGTCGGTGGCTTGCATGCCACGCCAGGCCAGGCGCGCGCCCAGGAGGGACCACAGGAGCTCCAGGAAGCATGCCACCATCACGTTGACCGCCACCAGCGCCCGGACTTGGGCCGAGGCGCGGGGTGGCAGTGGGACGGGAACCCAGCGCAGCACCGACCACTCCGACACCTCGGGGAGGGCGTGCAGGCCGTCCTCGTGCGCGACTTGTCTGGAGGCCAGGTCCTCGTGTCGCGTCGAGTCGGCGGCGACGAGGTCGTGATCCTGGTCCCGGACGAGATCGGAGAAGACGCCCCCGCTGCTGATCGTGCTGCTGTTGGAGTCGGCCAGGTCCACCAGGTCGAGCCAGGACGAGCCGCCGCCGCTGCCCTCGTCGGCGGCCGCCGGTCCTGGGGCGGCGGGCTCGTAGGGCTCGGGCAGGGCGAGGACGCCCTCGTGCAGGTGCACCAGCGCGGCCGCCGTGAGGACGAGGCCCGCGCCGGCCACCAGGGCAGCCAGCAGCGACGAGCGGAAGAACCAGGCGATGTAGCGGTCTTCGTACCAGCGGCGCCAGGCCAGCACCCCGCAGGCCGCGGCCTGCAGCGACGCAGCGCCGAGCCACAGCCCCGCGCCCAGGTGGCCGCACCAGGCGTAGCCCTCAGGGCCCTCCGGGTCCGAGGGGTCCCAGGACAGGGCCAGCAGCCCCAGCAGCAGCGCCACGCCGCCCAGCAGCGCGTGGCCGGCGGCCAGCCCCGCCACCGTCAACGCCGAGTAGCGCCGCTCGGAGGGGAACTGCAGCGCCGGGTCCGGCAGGGCGCGCACCTTCACCACGTAGACGTGCTGCGCGGCCTGCATCGCCTGCAGCAGGAGGAAGTGAGCACAAGCGTGAGTACATAGGTCTGTTGTCCTGGAGGACTGGAGGGTACCCCTGGCGATGACGCGCCGCCTCACGCCGCCCGTTCTCATAGTTACGCGCCAACTCTGATCTGAATACAAGCCCGCTGGGACTTCCCCCCCATGAGGTGGCAAGCTAGCTCGACCTACATCCCGACACCATACACTGAGAAAAATGAAAAGCTGTTGGTAGCAATCACCGTATGTTTATCTTGGGAAACAACCATCAAATAATGGTTAAGAAGACGATCACCGAAATGGGCAAAACCGCATTTTTCGGTTCTCACAAACTAGGTGAATATTTGCCTCGACCATTATTTTCTGGTCGACCTCTAGGCCAGCCACACGATAGTTGCAAGAGCTCATGATTTTTCTTGGTGCAGCGAGCTCCTCTCGTTCCACCGCGCGTTCAGGTTCCCTCCTAGCCCATCTCGTTAACGACAGCCCAAATTAACGATGTCAGACACCAGTTTTACGTTTCCGATGTCGTTTCGATCTATCCACATATCGCACCGCGCAACAACAGTCTGGAGCGCGGAGCTGGTCGTGGCGCCCCTGGCGTCCGGGCCCGGGTCGGGACCGGCATCGCCCTTGCTCCGACCGCAGGAATGCGAGGAGCTGAACGGAGTCACTGAACCATCCGCGGCCATAGCAGTGGGCCGGGCCGATAGCGGCATGACATGTCGTTCGACCGGACGCACTGTACCTCCATGGCTGCGGTTTTAGACGGCCCCACGGTGGTGGTGGTCACGGGGCTGCAGTGACGGTGACGGCGTTGTTGTTGCTGGTGGTGGTGTTGGTGGTGCGGGAGGTGCGCTCGGCCGCGGCCCCCGCATCCCCCGGCCGCGCCGGGCTCCTGGCCAGCAGGGCCTGGCTCTGGAATAAGAATAAAAAGAAAAGTGATGGTGAAAACAAGCAGCCGAGACGACATGGCATGACATGAGGCAACGAAAAAGAAAGGGGGGGGGGGGGGCAGGCGATGCGATGACCGCAGCGAATCGTCACCCCAAAGACCGCGTTGCATCAGCTGCAGCTCCCCGGCCAGAGCGGCGAGAAGGACCCTGCGCGCCGTTCAAAACACACACGCGCTCAGTTTTCGGAGCCTTTTTCTCACGCCGTTGCATCACGCGGCCGAGCGTTGCAGGGATGGGGTCCACGCGGGGCGCCAAACCAGTACGTGACCTCCGACCTGGGAGGTGGAGAGGGGGGGGGGTATTATTTCAGCGCACGTTTCCGGCTTATCCGGGGGTTGCCCAAACTTGAGATAAATGTGTACACCGGATTACCAAATATTAATGATTACCAATGATTACCGGGTATCACCAAAGATTACGAATACAAGGTCGGATTTACCTGTACACTTAACCCGAAAGTGCCATTTTTTTTGTCCCGAGAAAGACGCACATCTTTACCAGGATTACAAGTTGCATCAGTGGACAGATTATACTTTTGTCCATGTGAAAGAGGCAAATTCATCATTTCAAACTATCACGTCTGCATTTAATTGAAATGTGCACAAAAATGCATGTCTTAATCAACAAATTTGTCAATAAAAAGCCCATGAGGAGAGTGGTGATTACCGGTGATTACCAAATCTGTGTACGCCTAAATACGTCAGTTGGGCACCCCTCGGGCTTATCCCTACCGCCACAAATATTAAATTATAAAATGTTTGGCACCCATCGCGAGCTGGCCAGTTTTCACGCAGTGAATATAACTAACTAAGTTCTCTCGCAACAATCTCACGTCATCATGGAGCGGGATCTGAGTGGGGCGGGGAGGGGGGAGGAGACTGGGCCCCTCGTGTAATATATTCCATGTGTGCCGGCTAAACGGTGTTGCGCCCCGGCGCGGTATGTACTATGTAGCGACGCCGCCGCCGGGTCACTTGCCCGCGCGACCACCGCGTCCGCACGCACGCAACGTGCACTGTACGCACCTCCCACCCGCTCCCTACTCCACAGGGTAGCCACTGTGCTGCGCCCCCCGTTGGAGGAATTCGTACAGGACCGGCCAGCATTGCACAGGTGCGAGCGGGTTTGCCTGTTTGCCTGTCGTCCCCAGCCTACAGCCATGGCGCTTTATAGCCCCGTGCGAATAGGCAACCCGTCCGCACACCCGCGTGGTGCGGGCTAGCATGCGCAAGGGCTCCACAACGGGGCACAGCGGCATCCATGTATTCTAATTCTGGCTATGAGGTAGCTTCATAGAGGAAGATTTTCAGAGGGGAAAATTGAAGAAAGGGGGGGTGGGGTCAGCTTGAGGAAAAGTCTGAACGGCTTCGCTATGGTGACGGGTGGTGGCGCGGTTCAGCACGCGCTGGAGAGCCCTTGGGCGGAGAGGAATCCGGTCCGGTTGTTGTCGCGGCGACCGGTGAGGGGCACGCGTGCACCGCCCCGGGACCCGCTCCGCCACGCCCCGCCACGGTCTAGGCGCTTCCGCCCCCGACGCCCGTGAGGGTCACCGGGTCTCGGTGCATGCAGTGGGTCTAGGTCACCGGGTTGAGAGGTTGACAACCTCCTCCCTCGCGACGTGCGACGCCCTCCGCGGCCGGCGGCCCCTTCGGCTATCGGCTGCCCCCAGAGGCCGCTGCTCCAGCAGCCCCTCCTCCCCAGAGCCCGCGAGGCCCTTTCCAGTCTGCTGGATCACACGGGTAACGGTAACGGCCGTCACGCGCCGGGGCCGGGTGAGGCGATGCACGCCGTGTTAACCGCCGCATGCGTCTCGCCTCGCCGCAGCCAGGCGACGACGACGCCTCGCCCACTTGAGCGCCTTATGGTTTGCTCTATAGTCTTTTGTAAACGTGCCGCGGCGGTGATCTTCTTCCTCGTGCTGTTTTGGCGGCGGCGGGGGGTCGTGCAGGTCATCCCGGGGCGCAAGTGCCTCCTTACGTAACCCCGCGCGGCGCGCACGACGCGCGCGCCTGTCACTGCGCGGAGGGCGAGCAGCAGGAGGGGCTTCGCCGCGCGGGGTCTTCCGCACTTCGTGGGCCCAGGAGAGGCACGACCCTTCCTCTTGGTTAGCGAGATATGTAATCGCCCCTTGACTGACTGCGGGTGTCTGCAAGCGATGTGGTCCAAAGGCCGCGCGCGCGTCGTTGCTTTCGATCTTCGCGATACCAGCCCCACAGAGTCCCCGTGGCTCACGGGGCGCTGTTTTCTTACCGTTTTAACGCTATCCTCGGCTTAGTCCCATCTCTCTCCACTTGTCGCAGGTACGCACACACTCACACACTTAAAGCACTCGCACAGTATCGCACTCTTCCGCACACGCTCGCAGGGTCGCACTCGGATATCCTCTGTATACCCCGGCCGGTGCCGGTGCGGGGGAGTCACTGACCACCCGCACGGTTGGGTGTTGCGCGCCAAACAACGGGAACGGTCGGCGCGCGGCGGGCGGAGCGGGGCGCGGAGCCGCGGCGGCAGCAGAGCAGGTGAGAAGCGCGGGCGTGCAGCGGAGCCGAGAGCCAGCGGCCGACTGAGGAGGTGAGCCGCGCGGCCGCTGCGCCCGGGCTCCGCGCGACGAGGCCGGGGCGGGACGGGAGGGGACGGACTGTAACCCTTTCGTCCGCGCACCGCTGGTCCGGCCCGTCGTCGCCGGGTCCCACTACCGGCGGGCACCATAGGCGCCACGCCCCCGGCCGCGCCCAGGCTATCGCGGGTTCTGCGACTGTACACCCTCACACCCTCATCATCCGGACGGTCGCGCGGGGAGGGGCCCCCTAAGGTACGGCCGGAAGCGGGAGCACATTCGCCCGGCTGATCACGGTGCGGTGATTGCAAGCAGTGTCAGTGTCCGTCTCGGTACGGTGTAGTCGAGGAGGCGGCGCCCCTGCTGCACACTGCGCGGGGTCGGCCGAAGGGTCTATCTGCTGCTGTCTATCAAGTCGAGCCGAGCCCCCGCGCGAGCCTGTCTCTTTCCTTGATCTTGCTCTTGTACCCCCTTCCCTCTCTCTCTCCTCCCTCCCCACCTACCGGCGCGCCACCCGCGCTCTACTATACAGCCTGCATGCTCTAGCCTAGATCACCTCGACATGGTTGCTATCCTTTCCCTCGCCGAGCTGCTGCCGCCGCGCCGTGCCACCGCTTGCACCGCCGCTACACTGGGGAGCCATAGACGCCCGAGTTAAAGCCCCTTTTGCACATAGACACTTTTACGGTCTCCTCGCACCTACCGTGTATCGATTTTACGCCCACGTCGGTTCTGCCCTGCGGGCGCGGGCAGGGCGGGACCGGGCCGCTTGTGCAAACTCTCCTATATGTTTAGGTTCTTCCTGTGGTACATTACAAGTGAGGTGTGTGGTGAGGTGACAGCTCCCTGGGCAAGGGACGGTGGAGGGTGATGGACGAGTTGGGGCCTATCGCCCGATCACTGGCTGCAGGGCGGCTGCGCTATCAGTCAGTACACACAGGGCCCCGCCAAGCCACGCCCCAAATCTCGCTAAATACTCGTGCGGTACATGTTTGGTGTGTGCGTGTGTGTGTGTGTTTTCTCGCACAGTCTCAGTGTGAGTGTACGTGAGATGTGGGTGGTGATACAGCCGTGTGTGTATGTGTGTGTGCGCGCGCGTGTGCGTTTGGTAGAGGGGCCTTGACGGGGCGCAACCTGACCCGTGTAGCTCCCGCCGGGCTCGAGCCTACAAGCTAGCACCCGCCCCGCCCCGCCCCGCCACCTAGCACCCACCTTGATCCCGCTCAGGCCCCCTACGCTCCCGCCCCGCCCGGTATTGCCCCAGCAGAACAACACGCTGCTGCTGCTGTGAATTCCATCGGGAAAGAATAGACGTTCCCTCCCCTGGCTTTACTGGAGCTGGAGTGCGCCATGGAGCTGGGCACCAAAGGGGAAAGCTTATTTCGCTCCGGATAGAAGTACCTAAAGGTTAACTTTTAAAGTAGTGCTTGACGCCACGTCTATTTCCCCCCTTTCGGCAGCAGAGGGACACTTACTTCCTCTCCCGCCGCTTCGTCCGCGGCACGACACAGTGGGGCTGCTCTCGCTTCCACCCGCGCTCGCGCCTGGCGCGCCGTTCGCATTTCCGCTTCCTCGCGGCGTGAAAAGGAAGAATTAAAAAATGATGGAGTCTATCCCTATCCCTCAGGCCATGTAAGGCGGGCGGGAGGCCAGCTGCAGCGAGCATGACACGCGCCGCGCCCGCAAGGCCACACTACTGCGCCCCGCGCCGGGGCTGCAGCCTGCAGGGCGCCTAAAAGGCTTTCGCGCCTATCGCAAAGGCGTGCTCGATAAAACTTGAAATCGGCCTCATTTGTGAGAGTTAAGCCCCCCGCCCGCTCGCGCGCCGTGGTGGCGAGGTCGTGATATAGCGTTTGTTACTCGGTGCCGGCTGGCCCGCTGTGTGGTTATGGAGCGGGTTGGAGGCTCCTGGGGGCACCCCGACAACGCAGTGACGCGACGTGGTGGGAGCCCCCATGCCACCGCCAGATTTTCGCGACACCCAAATAGGTGGTATCTCGGTCCCAAAACGAGTGTGAAAGTCAGAGAATGATGCTTGCATATGGCATTTATCTTTGTTCATGTGAACTGGCGTCGTTAAAACCCTCATCAAAGTTGAAGTGAAGCCCTCTATCAGCGCCTCGGACTGTCCTTGTCGCTCGCACCGCCCAGCTTCTCTGTGCGCCGTCGGCAACGCCACAGGCGCGGGGCAGGCAACCCGCCGCGTCGCCGTGCTCCACGGGACTGCATCGCGGCCGCCCGCCGCTTCACACCGCACGTCTCGCGCCTCTGGAAACGTCGCGAACGCAACGGGACTGCAAATGAAGCGACGCGGTTAATTTTTTTCGCCCGCCCGCCACGTCCCCCGACCCCATTCTCCTCCTCCGCGATGTACACAAGAAGGCGGAGGAGGGTATTTGTCGCTTTACTCATCCACGATCCGTCCTTTTTTTCCACCTCAACGAACGCCAGCCATCTCATCTCGGCTCGCTGTCGCTTGTCAGCACAGCGCAGACTTCTTCGCACATTTTGTGGCGGAGTGAAGTTTGGGGGTGGGCGCAGGAGGAGGACGACGTGATGAAGTGCAATAACGAAGAGGACGCTGGGGAGGATGCCGAGGAGGAAGCCGAAGGGCGCCGAGGACGATGCCGAGGAGGACATCGGGGAGGACGCCGGGGAGGAAGGCGAGGAGGACGCCGGGGAGGACGAGGACAACGAGGAGAACGCCGAGGAGGACCGCGAGCATACCATTAAAAAGTGACCAAGAAAGGCGACCGTTTCTTCGGGCCATGCCATCCACGGAAAACAGTATCATCGATGTGGTCGTCTGCCGCGATGTCATCACAAATGTGGGGATCGGGCATGCGGTGGCGTCCATGGCTGAGCGAGTGTGTGCACGGAGTGAGTGGTGTGGTGTATCTGTTGGTGAGCTGCCTGGAGGTATTAGGCACGTGGCAGGCGCAATAGGCAGTGGCGATAACGCCGAGAGAGTTTCCGTACCCTTGCGTTATGGTCGCTCACTAGTACCCCCCTCTGTTGCCTACGCCAATGCTTGGCAATAGTGTTTTACACCATTCCGCTGTTGTTATTATTATTGGTCACGTAGCTGGCGCGGCGCTGCGGCGGTACCAATCGCCGGCCTGGCCGGCCCGGTGTTTCTATCTCTCTCACGCGCCTTGTCTCTCTCACGCAGAACGGTCCTGAGGTTTTATGCTGGATACCACCCATCTGCGTGCATTTATTTTCAAAAGGGGAAAGGGGGGTAGAGAAACCCGTGGTAATGTTCACGGCCTTGACATGGAATCGGCCTCTGGGTTATAGTTTAGTTGCCTGGCTCATGCTGGCTCGATATCATTTATGTTACTTAAGCCATGCCGCTTCTCTGAAGGGTGGCCCACCGGCGCCGTTCTTTCTTCGGTTTATAACGTACCGGATCACTTGCGCGGGTGGGCTTGCATATAGTGCAGTCGCTCAACGAAGCGCCTTTATCGGCCCCGTGCGAGTATGCAACTCGTCCGCACACACCTATGCATCCATCCGCTACAGTATGGCCTGCAGAGTGAACGGCGCCGATATGGGCCACCCTCTATACTGGGAAGTTCATGCGACCTCAACAAAGAACTGGAGAGCGTTATCTACAGAAACGCCCCCGTCGCTGGAATCTTCCGCCGCTGCGATCTGCAGTCTCAGCTGGAGCGGCGGGCGGGCGGCGCTTGTTGTCAACATCGCGGGCAGCGAGGGGTTAAGGGTCGTCCGTCGAGCCCTTCATAACCCGGGTGCCCGAGCGAGGAAGAACCAGTCTCACTCAGCCACGAGTGAACGGGCCAAGTGGTGCGGGCGAACCATTTTCTTTGTTAAAGACTAAACTTGGCTGAGGGACCCCGTCGTCGCGTCATCCACGTCCACCACCTCCAGCCAGCAGCCCGTGCGTCTATCACTGGGAATACAAAGGTGAGATAGGCCATTTCCCTTTTTCGAGTGACTCAAAGAATTTGTGACATTACATATTTTGTAAAGTAGTCGGTAGTTTTCAATGCCACCCTGTATGTTGGCGTTTTGCTAAAAGTCTCAACTTTTCTATTTATAGTGAACTAAATATCAACAACAATGTCGAGATCACCCCCGCCCGCCATCGATTTCTCTGAGATGAGTCCGGAGGACATAAAAGACTTATTTGAGCAACGCCACCCTGCCTGCGTTAGCAGCACCCGCCTATCTCTATTTTTGGCTTTCGCCGCGAAGATCCGTGAAGTGTCCAGGCTGCTCAAAAATGAGATTCGCTATGCGGACGTCCTGAAGCGGGCCGCGGACGGCATGCTTGAAGGCAACCGGGCGCAACTCCGAAACCTCTTCAAGTTCGTCAACGAGGAGGTGACGACGACGGCCGTGCACGAGAGAATCCTGCGGGACCTGCGGGAAGAACTTGCCCTCCAGATGGAAGACCTTGGCCAGCCCGACCACCACAATGCAGAACCACCTGAACGGCTGCCGGCCAGGAGGACGCCGGTGTCGGCATCGGGGGCGCCTTGGCGCAGGAGGGGGAGGCGCGGGGGCGCATCAAGATGCTGAAGGCAGAGCGTCCTTCCCTTGTCCGTCATCCAAGTTTGCTGGCCCGGGGAGATCTCAGCTGTTCGTCTTGAATATCGCGGGTCTTCCTGACATCAGCCTCCAGGATCAGCGGCTCAGTTTTACTGAACGTTCTGGTGTTCGAGTTGGACAGCCTGACACAACCAGGCAGAAGAATGGCCGTGTCCATACCACCAGGAAGACAAGTGCTCTCTGTGCCATCGGCTATATAGACTCGTCATCGAGAATGAATGCGGAGAGTGTTTGCTCGGGGGTTGATTTAATAGAATCGTGCGAGTTACGTTGTAGTAATTATTCTATAATAAAGATGGATAATTGACCTATTGATAGCACTGATCAATTGCCATCGTCATTCATTCACCCATAAAAACGCCCAAACACGTAAGAGGCAACCGCTATCTGATAGATTGCATGAGGCGAGAGTGTCTGGTGAATGTTTATGTACGAG